GCCTAGTGTGAGAGCAGTCATGGCCTGACTTTTATTCCAGCTCTTCGCCTTCATAACAGCCTCGAACTGGATTTTGTAGGCTGACCAGGAAGAAGTCCTGTCGAACGGTGGCACCTTGAACCCAAAAAGGTGTAGTAGCTACTACGGGAGCTGTAGTTCCATCCCCAAGTTTGAGTTCGTCCAGTGATTTCTTCACGTCAGCTATCACATAATCAACCCGATTGTTCACTTGGTCGATTTGGGTTTTAGATTCCTTGATTTGCGTTTCAGCTTCCGACAGGCGGTTGTCATGTTGAGATGATGAACCCTATCCTTCACCTCCCTTATCTCTTTCCCGAAGTTAGCGTGAATCTCCCTCACGAGGAGCATCTGCTCTTCCTGTCGGCGGGCCTGTTCCTCCTGTCGGCGAGCCTGCTCCTGCAGCATCACCATCAGAGCACCTAAGTCAGGTGCTGCAGATGTAGGAGCTACTGACGGGTCTGCAGCCGGCGGCTGGCCCTCCGACGTCTGCGGCGTTGCACCACCAAATCTTCTTTGGTCCGTCTCCTGCTGGCGTTGACTTCGGGTACGGACACCCTCCGTTTCCTCCTTAGGTAAAATCGGCATGATTTTATCCCACTTCTGACACCAATTGTTACGAGCTTGAGGTACAGTTTTAGTTACAGAGTTGTACAGTTGAGTCGTGACAATAAAAACTGCCGATTTAATTACCAATATTTACACTTTAATTCACTTTACACTAATTAAAACTTAATACACTAATAATTAACCACACTGATTCGCTTTATTTCGCTCCGAACCTTCGCTTGTCTCGCCAAATTCAATCTTCCCCGATCGCATCTTGCAGCGCCTATAAATACAAATTAGCACCGAAACATCCAGAATATTCAAGTAAACACGCGCAAGGGGCCGAGAGTTCGAGTGTCGACTTCTAGAAGCTTAGTTCTTCGTTCCGAGACTAGATGGCGCTGTCGGTTGAAAGATTAGTGATGTCATTTTCTGGAAAGCACCCCTCACTCTCGTCCCTGACACTAGATGGCGCTAGTGCCGGATACATGACGTCGACTTATTCGCGCAACAATATCTTTATTTAGGAACGTTTAGCACACACGAAACTAGAATGAAAAAGTTTTAGAGTTGTATCAAACGGAGCCGTGTCTGTGGCATCCACGTTTGCAGGCACATAAAAATCGATCAGCCCTCAGTGATGCATGGCGGCTAATTATTCAAGCATTCTTTTCCAGCCACCCAAGAACAATTGAAAACTAAAAAAAGAATCTTTAATGGGATACATTTGAATCATCCACAACCTTCTCCTGAGTTTAGGTGTTTTTTCGTTTTTTCTATGATTATATAAAACATACATATAGTAATTAATAACACTCATGTAGTAAACTATTATAGCAGCTAATTCAACTTCCATTTTCCCGCCACATTAACGCAATGATCAAGGAGAAATTATGAAATGATGGAGTAATGCGCAGATGTAGCCATTTGATTTAAAACTTATTGCTTTAAATCAATTAGCGAAATAATTATCGCGCTAGAGACCACAGCCACTGACACTGACGCTAACGCAGGTGGAGCACTAACAATACAGAATAATTAAATTAATTATAAGAATATGTATACATACATGCCGTGTAGTGGCGGTTAAGAATATCCACTACCCCATATCTTCCCGTGGGTGTCGTAAAAGGCGACAAAGGGAGACAGGCAGGAGATGGGCAGCAGCATCTTCCTGATAACAGCAACTGTACGACAAAAAAAAACTGCGGTTGCCAACTCGCTCGCCAAGCGTGGCAACTATGGCAATATACCCCCCATGAACAATTACACAAATAGACGGCCCCCAGTCCCCGGCGGCCCCGCTATTCCTGGCTACGGTGGCGACCATGGTAACGGCGGGGCAGGGGGTGCTAAGAATCTCCGGTGGAGGTTCGGTTGCCACCTACGACGACTCGACCTGGCAACATTTAACGCACGCACACTGAGGACTGACGAGAAGATACTGGAGCTGGAAGAAGAGGTAGACAAGTTGCGCTGGCATATTATTGGATTATCTGAGGTCCGAAGAGAGGGGGAGGACACGGTAATCCTCGAGTCTGGTAACTTGTTCTATCACCGGGAGGACGACCACCTGTGCCAAGGAGGTGTCTGATTTATCGTCCACAAGACTCTCGTCAACAACGTAAAGATTGGGAGTGTGTCGACGAGGGTCGCGTACCTGATACTCAGAATCACCAAACGGTATTCGCTGAAGGTCATACAGGTTTACGCACCAACCTCGGCACATCCCGATGAGGAGGTAGAGGAAATGTACGAGGATATTTCCAAAGCCATGTATTCCTCCAAAACCCACTACACGGTGTTGATGGGAGACTTCAACGCAAAACTAGGCACAAGAGAAAGCGGTGAGCTGAAGTTAGGGAAATTTGGAGTAGGGCAACGGAACCGAAGGGGCCAGCAGCTGGCCGACTTTATGGAGAAAGAGGGACTCTTTATGATGAACTCTTCCTTCCAGAAGCGGCCCCACAGGAAGTGGACCTGGTCGAGCCCCGACGGTTCGACAAAAAATGAGATTGACTTCATTATGACGACCAGACGCCAACTGTTCAGTGATGTCTCAGTGATCGCAAGGGTGAAAACTGGCAGCGATCACCGAATGGTTAGAGGCACACTGAACCTAAACGTTAAATTGGAGAGGTCTCGTCTAATGAAGTCAACGCTCCGTCCCCCCTCGTGCTCTAATCCAGAATCCCGAAAACTTTCAGCTCGAGTTACACAACCGCTTTCAGTGCCTACAAGATTGCAATGCAGTGGACGATATGAATGACAAGCTCGTGGAAACTGTCCATGCGGTCGGAGCTAAGTTCTGCAAGACCCACCGCAGAAGAACACAAAAACTCTCCGATCACACTCTTAATCTCATGGCTGTTAGACGGGAGATGAGGCTGCAATCGTCAACAAATTTGACAGCATACAGGCAACTGAACAGACAGATCTCCAAATGCATGCGGCGAGACTTACGCAACTTTAATACTAGCAGTATTCGAGCGGAACCAGGGCTCCAAAGTCTTTGCCAGAGATCTGTCTGCCAGAAAGAGCCAACTGTCAAAGCTGAAGACTGAATGTGGCAGCATCGTTTCCGGGACACCTGAGATGTTGAGTGAGATTGAGAGGTTCTATGGGCAGCTGTACACATCATCGTTGGAGCCACACGCAAGTGTGAGTAACGATCCAAGAGCAAGTCTTATCCGACACTATTCCGATGATATCCCAGACGTCAGTCTAAGCGAGATTAGAATGGCTCTCCAGCACCTTAAAAACGGCAGGGCCCCAGGCGAGGATGGAATTACAGCGGAGCTCCTGAAAGCGGGTGGAACACCGGTACTGGAAGTCCTTCAGAAGCTCTTCAATTCCGTCCTCCATGGTGGCACTACTCCAGAGGCGTGGAGCAGAAGCGCGGTGTTCTTGTTCTTTAAGAAAGGCGACAACGCTCTCTTGAAGAACTACAGACCGATTTCCCTTCTGAGCCGCGTCTACGTGCTGTTTTCAGAGTCATTAAGAATCATCTCGCACGCAGACTCGACGACTTCCAGCCTCCCGAACAAGCCGGTTTCCGAAAAGGCTTCAGTACCATAGACCACATACATACCCTTCGGCAGATTGTACAGAAGACTGAAGAGTACAATTTGCCACTTTGCCTGGCGTATGTGGACTATGAGAAAGCCTTTGATTCCGTCGAAATTTGGGCGGTGCTGCAGTCCCTTCAGCGGTGCCAAGTTGACTTGTCGGTATATCGAAGTGCTGAAGTGTTTGTACAGTAGGGCTACGATGGCTATCCGAGTACAGAACCAGAGCTCGAAACCTATCCAACTGCAGAGAGGTGTAAGACAGGGTGACGTTATATCCCCGAAACTCTTCACCGCTGCATTGGAAGACGTTTTCAAGCTACTGGAAAGGATACGGTATTAACATCAATGGCGAGTACATCACTCACCTTCGATTTGCCGACGATATAGTCCTTATGGCAGAATCGCTGGAGGACTTAAGCACTATGCTCAATGACCTCAATAGTGCTTCCCAACGGATAGGTCTTAAGATGAACATGGACAAAACAAAGATCATGTTTAATGTCCATGTCACACCTATGCCGGTAGTTGTTGGGAGCACTATGCTCGAAGTTGTTGACGAGTATGTTTACCTGGGACAAACAGTCCGACTAGGTAAGTCCAACTTCGATCGAGAGGTCAATCGACGGATTCAACCCGGCTGGGCAGCGTTCGGGAAATTACGACATATCTTCTCGTCAGGTATACCTCAATCTCTAAAAACTAAATTGTACAACCAGTGCGTGTTGCCAGTGATGACTTACGGATCTGAGACGTGGTCCTTCACTGCTGGCCGTATGAGGACGCTCAAGGTCGCTCAGCGAGCTATGGAGAGGGCTATGCTCAGAGTTTCTCTGCGTGATAGACTCAGAAATGAGGATATCCGTAGTAAAACCAGAGTGACCGACATAGCCCAACGGATTAGTAAGCTGAAGTGGCAATGGGCCGGCCATATAGCTCGAAGAACCGATAACCGATGGGGAAGAAAGGTTCTCGAGTGGCAGCCTCGTACCGGTAGGCGTAGTGTAGGGCGACCCCCCCACACTAGATGGAGTGACGACCTGGTAAGATATGCAGGAAGTCGATGGATGCAGGTGGCTCAGGACCGTGCTTTGTGGCATTACTTGGGGGAGGCCTATGTTCAGCAGTGGAAGGGCTGTAATGATGATGATGATGATGATGTATACATACACAAAGATGTGTCTGTCTGAATCCCCCCTACACCTGGACCGATTAAGATGAAACATTTTGTGGATCCCTAGATAGTTTAGATTTACAATTGGACCCGGTCGGTAGATAGCCGGGTCACCGCGGATCATATTTTTTTTTATGAACCGTCGGATTTCCCTAAATTATCCCATGTAATATTAGTAAAATTAGACTCACCGTAAACCCCCACAATCGGCAACCCTTTCCTTGTATACTCCAAACTGCAGTCGATATCGTCAGAATTACTGCAGTACATTGGCCTATGACCGTATAAAATTATCCATGGTCGCTTTGCCCTGTAATTTTAACCGTGACAAAGACGAGGGTAACTTAAATACACTGAAAACCTGCTTAAAGATTTTGAAACACCCTCTATATAGGATAAACATTTTATAATTTGTGTATCTGTGAACCTGTCCGTTATTTTGTACAATTTTGGAACTCCGCCTACCTCATGGTTGTGAGTGAGTGAGTGTACTCACCTAGTCCCAAAAGCGGCAATCCCACGCGATTGGGCAAGAAGTTATTCCAGCAATCATCGCGCAGATTGCTACAGTACATCGGTCTGTGGCCGTATAGTACGATCCAAGGCCGTATGCGCCTGTTAACGAATTAAAAAATGTATATAAAGTTATAATTCAATTGAGATTGTAATTTTAGTTAATTTTTTAGTAGCAAAATAATTATGCGATGAAAATTTCAATTTCCCCTTATTATTACGGCAAAAAATATAGTTTACGTACAGGTACCTTCACTTATTTTTTTATTTAAAATTTATACAATATGATGTATAGGCGGACGGACTTAATGCCTTAAGGCATTCTCTACCAGTCAACCTTTGAGTGATACAGAGATAAAAATATGAAGTAGGTTTATGAAAACGCTAAAAGACAGAAATGTATAATAAAGTGTATAAATATAAACAAAATAATACCATACATAAACCTATCCACATAAACTTCTATATCAAAAATTATTTAATACATGTATAATATTATATATAAATAATAGGTCCTTACATATGAAATTGGCGTTTTGTACAGGAGGAATATAAAGTCAATTATTTTGTAAAATATATTAAATTATTCAAAGTATGCACCGTTGTTATCTATGCATTTTTGCCATCTCATAGGTAGTTCATTGATCCTTTTACTAAAAAAAAACCATGGAGGCGAGAATCAATAAACTGTTTGAAGGCGGTTTGGACTGCTGCATCGAGGTTAAATTTTTTTCCTTGTAAGAAGTTGTCCAAATTCCGGAAAATATCTGTTGAATCAAGGTCCGGGGAATACGATGGATGTCGCAGATGTACCAATTGTAGCTCATCTAACTTAGTGGTTATTTGTTGTGCAGTATGTGGTCATGCATTCTCGTGAAGCAGCAGTGGCCTAGAGCGATTGACCAATCTCGGTGTTTAGCAGCTAGTTCTTCCTTCATGGTTTGCAGTTGCTGACAATAGATATCTGTCGTAATCGTTTGGCCAGATTTTAAAAAGCTGTAGTGAATGACACCAGCGCTAGTCCACCAAACACTCACAAGTAACTTTTTCCGAGTAAATTTTCGTTTAGGACAGGATTTGGCTAGGTCTCCAGGGTTTAGCCATTGCGACGAGCGCTTCCGATTATCGTACAGTATCCACTTTTCCTCACAAGTAATGAATCGATTTAAAATCCCTTCATTTTTGTGTCAGTTGAGCAAAGTAACACAGCAGTCGATGCGTGTTTGCAAGTTCGATTCACTCAATTCATGAGGTACCCATCGTTCAAGTTTTTTTACTTTCCCGATTTGCTTCAAGTGGATTAATACAGTTTTATCACTTACCCCGAAGCCTGCAGTTATGTCTAAAGTGCTTTGCGATGGATCCACTTCTACAATAGCCTTTATTTCTTCATTTTCCACTTTGGTCTCCTTCCGTCCACGGGGTTGGTTCTGAAGGTCGAAATTTCCACAACGAAAATCTTGAAACCAAAAACGTACCGTGCTTTCTTTTGCGAAACCAGCGCCGTACACATCATTAATCCTTCGAGCTGTTTCTGCAGCACTAGTGCCACGGTAGAACTCGTAAATATACCGATATTTCATATATTCCATCGTGAGGTAATAAGCGGCGAATGAGGAAAAATGAATTTATAAATTTGAACTTGGAATTCTTAACCAAAGAGGAGATATTTCAGATCAAAGTGGTCAGTACGACAAAACTAATTTCATATGTAAGGACCCAATAATATACATATGATTTCAGTAAATAATATACATTATATAAATACGTAAATAAATACTACTAATAGATTATTCTGCCAGTTTATTTAAATAATATTACGAACTTTCTTCTTAAATACACAACGATTGTTAGCCGTTCTAATTTCAAGAGGGAGTGCATTCTAAAGGAGAACACACTGTACAGTGAAGGAAGAATGCAGGAAGCCAGATTTATGGGAGAGACAAATAAAAGAAGCAAAGAATCTGAAAGCGAGATGTTAAGTATGAAGGGGAGGGGGGTAGGAAACGTCAAAATAGAGGATAGGGTTGTGTGCGCGCATACTACGTCGCTGACGAATGGGTAGCCACGTAGGTTGGGAACGATAAGTAGACACATGGTCATACATACGAAGATTGAAAATGAATCGAATGCAGTTATTAAGAATACGATCATATTTGTTGAGAAAATCTGCATTCAGGTCAAACTCACCGTAATTAATCAGTGGAAGAATTAAGGATTGCACAATTAATGCTTTGGTCCTGGATGGAAGAAAGTTTTACAGGCGGTAAAAATCTCGTAAGTTACCGGTGCCCTTTTGGTCAACATTTATCACTTGGGCATGTCAGATCAAAGTAAAGTCAATGTATAAGCCAAGGTCTTTAACAGAAGGACATAATTCCAAAATAGAGCCGTTGAAAATGATCGGAGGGAGATCTGTAGTGTCCACTTTTTTAATAGTGCAATGGCTACCTAGTAATATTGTCTGACACTTGGATGGATTAATAGAACCGAACCTGTCTGACCAGCTCTTAATATGTCCTAGGTTCTTGTTGACCATATCCACCGCGGCGGACACACGATCAACATTCGCCTGTGCGTACAAATGTCGGCATACAGATGATACTACATACTACTATTCACCCTCTTGACTAGAGCCAAGTACTTATCTAAGACTTATTTAAATACAAAGACTAAATTTGAGAGGAATACTAATTTCATTTATTTTCATATATTTATACCGGGTACCGGGAGACTGGTGCAAAGCCGTGATAGTCCCAATATATAAGGGAAAAGGGTCACAACAGGAATGTAAAAACTACCGTGGTATCAGCCTTCTTAGCATTGTGAGATAACTGTATGCCAATGTACTAATTGAAAGAGTTATGAAAGAAACTGATGAAAAAATTTGGGATGTGCAAGCGGGATTTAGAAAGGGAATGGGGTGTACAGATCAAGTCTTTTCCATGCACATGATCGCGGAGAAGTTTTTGGCGAAAACCAAAAAGTTTTTTGTGCGTTCATGGACTTGGAAAAGGCTTATGACAGAGTGGACAGGGATGTGTTATGGCAAACGCTAAACGCATTTAGGTTGATCGCTTGTGTTAGAATCAACGGGGCCTACTCGGACTGGTTTGGCATCCATAAAGGTGTCAGACAGGGCTGTGTAGCTTCCCCGTGGCTGTTCAACCTATTTATGGACAGTTGTTTGGAAAATTTGAAAGTTGAAGAATGCGGGTTAAGAATGGGTGAGTTAACCATCAAATGCCTTTTGTACGCTAATATTGTCTGACACTGGATGGATTAATAGAACCGAACCTGTCTGACCAGCTCTTAATATGTCCTAGGTTCTTGTTGACCATATCCACCGCGGCGGACACACGATCAACATTCGCCTGTGCGTACAAATGTCGGCATACAGATGATACTACATACTACTATTCACCCTCTTGACTAGAGCCAAGTACTTATCTAAGACTTATTTAAATACAAAGACTAAATTTGAGAGGAATACTAATTTCATTTATTTTCATATATTTATACCGGGTACCGGGAGACTGGTGCAAAGCCGTGATAGTCCCAATATATAAGGGAAAAGGGTCACAACAGGAATGTAAAAACTACCGTGGTATCAGCCTTCTTAGCATTGTGAGATAACTGTATGCCAATGTACTAATTGAAAGAGTTATGAAAGAAACTGATGAAAAAATTTGGGATGTGCAAGCGGGATTTAGAAAGGGAATGGGGTGTACAGATCAAGTCTTTTCCATGCACATGATCGCGGAGAAGTTTTTGGCGATAAACCAAAAAGTTTTTTGTGCGTTCATGGACTTGGAAAAGGCTTATGACAGAGTGGACAGGGATGTGTTATGGCAAACGCTAAACGCATTTAGGTTGATCGCTTGTGTTAGAATCAACGGGGTCTACTCGGACTGGTTTGGCATCCATAAAGGTGTCAGACAGGGCTGTGTAGCTTCCCCGTGGCTGTTCAACCTATTTATGGACAGTTGTTTGGAAAATTTGAAAGTTGAAGAATGCGGGTTAAGAATGGGTGAGTTAACCATCAAATGCCTTTTGTACGCCGATGATCAAGTCATACTTGCGTCGTCGGCGGCCGAGTTGCAAATGATGGTTACATTAATGAACAGGTCATTAAAAGAAAGGGGAATGAAAGTGAACGCAAGTAAGACGAAAGTGATGGTTTTTGAAAGAGATGAAAGCAAAACGGTATGTGAAATAAGAATAGAAGGAGAGTTAATTGAGCAAGTGGATGAGTTCGTATATTTGGGATGTGTATTCAGCAGGGATGGGAGATATGATAAGGATATTGAACGACGAGTTAATGCAGGAAATAAAGTAAATGGGGCTCTACACTCTATTGTGAAAGTCAGAATGTGTCGAAAAAGGCACGTATGGCAATTCACAGTGCTGTATTAGTCCCTACTTTAACGTATGGTAGTGAAAGTTGGGTGTGGCAGAAGAAGCACGAGAGTAGAATAAATGCAGTAGAAATGCGGTCGCTAAGGAGTATGTTAGGGCTGAATCTGAGTGACAGGGTGAGAAACTGTGTGATAAAAGAAGAGTGTGGTTTGCAAGATGATGCGGTGACCAGGATTAAGAAAGGAATGCTTCGGTGGTTTGGTCATGTAGAAAGAATGAATGCGGAAAGACTGACAAAGCAAATATATGTTGCAGAAGTGAATGGAAGAGTCGGAAAGGGACGTCTTAGGCGGAAGTTTGTCGACCAAATTGGCGATATACTAAAAATGGGCCAAATTAAGAGTACCCTTAACCGACGAGCATGTATGCGTAGGTATATGGATGTGGAAGAGGCGAGAAAGGTATGTCAGGATCGTGCTAAATGGAAGTCTGTAGTCTCTGCCTACCCCTCTGGGTGACAGGCGTGAGTGTTTATGTTTTATGTTATGTTATATTTATATAAGAAAAAAAAGGTAGAAAACGAGCATACAGTCCACCTGATGGAAATTGGATGCAGTGGCTCATCGGCATCTAAATCTGTTCTCGAAAAAGAATAAAAATTCAGATGCATTGTCACCTTTGAGGTCTAAAATGGAATGCCTCGTTTCCAGTAAAAAGGATCTCCAGTTCTCTACACCCACCATACGAAACACAGCAGCATTAAGCAGCTATTTTACATTAATATTATGAGAATTCTGTGAACGTGATTCTACCCCGGTTGAGCGGATTCATTCGTGCTACAACTATAATATGGCCGCAACATGGCTCGTATAAATATACTTCTAGAAAGCAAATTTTATAAAGAAGTAAGACAAGTGAGCAGACAGTATCCCCCCGATGGTAAGTGAACTCTGTGGTGAGTAGATTTTCACACAAATGAGGAATCTAAATTCAGATCCGTTGACAGGCTAAGATGAAATTCCTCGTTCCGAGTGAAAAAGGGTCTCCGTTTATCTACACTCACGATACGAAACACAATACTTTTTCACGTTGGTATTTTGTAAGACCATGGTCCTGCTCTGGTCGAACGAACTCAATCATTTTACAGATCTAACACAAACGGAAGTAACTTAATGAATAGCCTTTTTCGAATTAGAATCAAGCAACTTTCAATACCAACAACCCACTAATATCGATCTTAACAGTTACGCATTAGAAGCTAATTTTAAAGCACAAATATTTTATTAGTGGTTTGTGATACTATGCTTATAATTCCTAACAAGGAAGGCGGAGTCCAAAAGCACAAATTAACACCAAGAATTGTTAGTAGTAATACTTCATTAATTAATCATATTGTAAACAAATTCTGGGCGCATTTTTAAGCGTAATGAAAGACAACTATGTATACTATCAGATGGGCACTAAGTCACGGTTAATTCTCCATGAGTATGGTCGAGTACAAGCGGGCGTGAACTAGTTCTTTGTTTTGTAAACCGTAAACGTTGTTTTCTACAACCTTAATTTGATAATGAATCCGACTTGGGGCACATCGGTTGGCAGATTTCAACATCTGTAACGGACATAGGTATAAATATTTTAGTATTTGCCTAAAAACTACTGCGTGGCATATTTATTGTGCCAGCTACCGGCTCGCGCAATCCATAGCTGTGACACGGTTATTGTTCTGATTGCCGATATAGTAGTACACATAGAAGTCTTAGACGTAAATATAGAAGCTTTAATATAAAGTATGGTTCATGCAACACCCTAATAAATATTTATAGTAATTCGCAACAATAGATATATATTGTGTAATCCATCTCCCCATTTCATCTCACGGGTGTCATAAAAGGCGACTATAGGAGATGTCAGTAAGATCTCATAGTTTCCGGTATGGAATGCCTCATATCCAGTAAAAAGGGACTTCGGTTCTCTACACTCACCATACGAAAAACGGCAGTGTTAAGCTGCTATTTCACAGTGGTATTCTGTGAAAGCGTGGTCTTGCCCCGGTTGAGCCGACCCATTTGTGCTACAACCATAATATAGCTGCAGCGTGGCTTTACCGCATATAATTTCTGTCTAATTCCAAGTTTTCTTAGGAATAAGTGACTTTTACTTTTTTCCACTCACCTATTCTCTTCCTTATTGGCCTCACTGAGGTCCTCCTGTAACCACTGGTACTGATTATCCAGCACTTTGAGACCATACTGCAGGAAATAGTAGAGTTCAGTGGAGACTGAGACGAAATGAATGGGGCCAAGGTCGAAACTGTAGAACAGGCTCTCGCGAGGACCTGGCATCGAGAAGCGAGCACGGTAATTGCTGAAATTGCTGAAACATACAGAGATCATTGACCATCACAAGTCCATGGCTGGACATAGGTCGGAAAACCAAGGAAATCCACATAAGACAGATGTGAGCTACCTGTGTAGTGTAGCTAATACTGGCAGAGCGGCAATGTATAGTGGGAAAGATTTCAATAAGAAGAGTTACTTGTTCTAGATCTATAACACTACTCCATTATTCTATTTTGATAATGTTTTTTTTATAGGATAGGGTGACAAACGATCACACAGTCCACCTGATGGTAAGTGGTTGCTGCGGCCCATAGACATACATCTATCCTCGATTACGAATCAAAATGCAGATACATTGTCAACCGTTAGGACTAAGACGGAATGCCTCGTTTCCAATAAAAGGGGTCTCCGGTTCTCTACACTCATCATACGAAATACAGCAGCATTAAGTTACTATTTTACCCTGGTATTCTATGAGAGCGTGGTCCTTCCCCGGTCCCGGCGTGTTTGACAATCTTGGCAAAAATGTTTGAAACCTAAGTGAACAATTATTTTACAAGAATGTAAGTTTAATGAAGATCTTTAAATGATATAATTGATTATTGATTCAAGCAGCTTATGCGAATTAATACAATTGATGTGGAAAATGAGTCAATTTTACTAAATAACAATTTTTTTTTATATTATAATATTAATAACATTTTTAAACTTTAAATTATATGTGACTTATGGTTTTTACTGAAAACTCAAAATATTACAATTATTCGATGAAAATAAAATAAATTTAAACCAAAACTACATTTTTAATGTTCATGTTTAAATATATCTATTATGGGTGTGAGAAAGGTTGAATAGCCTAATATTTCCTACTTACACATACGCCGCGCCTTCCATCTTTTCTTCTTGTTAGACAAATATACATACACATCTTTTTATTGGATGTGAGAACTCACTAGGCCTCCTCATGGTTCCCGGGGCAGACCATGTATGGTAGCATCGCGGCCAGCGGTTGCAGCTGCCGCATGAACTGATCTCCCACGCGGGCGTCATCATCGTGCATGTCGTACGCGAAGTCACCCACGTGCAGGATCACGTCGAAGTGCCCGCGCTGCGCCTCATCTTGTAAGTAGGACAGAGACTGCAGACAATTTGCGAAGTCAGTATGTCACAATCACCAGCTAAGTGAAATCTTAACAGTAATTTTTACATGGTAATGCAATGCTGCACCTATATTATAGATAGCAGGAACTATTGGTGGTCACCATCAGCGTATATGAGGGGTTCCGGGATCTCCGTTCGGAACGTAACCGGGTCCTTCACTCACTTTGCTTTATTAAAACATGTCCCGAGGGCAGTCCTCACCTTCGCAGTACTATCACGATGTTTAGGTACCACTTCCAAGTCTTCCTCTTCCAAGACTTTCAGGGCCCCCATGTCGCGATCGCAAACTAAATATAAGCAGAATTATGCTGCTAAAAGGGCAATAATTTGGTTGAGAGGGGGGGGGGGGGAAGTGACTTAAATGTTAGTGACATATTAGTAATCAGGTTGAAGTTGCTGTTCGAAGGAGATACTACTCACTAACAAGAGTTGTTGTTGCGTCTTGACAAGAAGATATTGGTAAGCAATGTCATTTAATGTCATATTGCATTTCATATTGTTGAAACGTTACTTCGATGTAGAGGTTTCGGGAGTGTAAGGGGTGGTTGTAGGCTCTTCAGGGACAAGAGGTCTTGACAAAGAGACTTTTGGTAACAGATATTAGCTAATACAAAATGTAGGGATATATACTTGTCATGCATGTAGTTTTAACCGCACAAAGACCTGATTCGAATCTAGGCAATAACAAAATCGCGATGGTAGGACAGGTCGTAACGACACCTCGTCTAGAGCGCCTACAACCACAGAGGCTCCGTTTCTGGTGGAGAATACCATCACCAAGAGGAAGGTCGTGACCAACGCCTTATCTTTAACGCTTCCTAAAAAAATCTGAAAAAATTACTAAAGACTCACATGTGCATTTTTGTTGCCCATATCACCGAAGATGGCCGCCCGCACCACCCAATCCTCGCCAGCTGGAGGAGTCTTAAACGAGAATTCCTCTGACCAGCCGTATTCCGAACCGGCGTGGTATACTGGAATTTATTACGAAAGTTGTGTTGTGTTAATAAGGGTTTAAACTAATATGATGAATGTATTGATCCTAAAATAATAATGTCCTCCAGAACCTTATTTCTTCTGATCGTAAGTGGCGATGAAGCAACTTATTCCACTCCTTTGCTGTACGCATGACGATCGATGAAGTAAACCGTTTGATTCGAATGCGTAGGTCGACCACAAAAGGGCCTGGACAAGCGTCTGATTATCCGATCGTGGAAGGGAGAGGGCAGAATTAATTTATGCAATTCCTACGCTCACTTTCCGAAAGAAACCGTTTAGTTCAAATACGTGGTAAGTAGACAACGAAAGGGTGGAGACTGAACAAGCGTCTGACTGTCCGATGGTGGAAAGGTTAGGAGAGGAATAAAGTTATACAATGCTTGCGCACACTCTCCGCAAGCCTGAGTTTAATCTTAGCCAGATTCGGGTAGTTAATACGGCTTTCAGCACGCCTTTAATTGAGTAATACAAATAGATATCGAAGTGCCCACGTAATACAAATATGTACAATTTTGTAGCATCAAATAAAGTTGTCCCTTTCTTTTTTCTGACGAAATCCACGGGTAGAAACGGGTGGATGATTAATTTATGTTCCAACCACACGATATTTACCCAGTAAGACTTTAAAAAAAAAAAAGAGTTACCTCCACGCTAGAATTTTCTCCTGTACCGTGAGGACAGGACAAAATTTTAGTATAGAAGTGACATACATAAATTTCACAAGGACAAACGTCCAGATTTGAAACAAATTTTTGTAGGCCATGGAAATACTTGTTCCGTGCGGAATTGTAACCCGCGGCCTAGGGCATCCAATCCTGCACGCTATTTGTAATCTCGATATTTGTGGGCTCGATGATTTTCGATCCCGCTGGGTCTCGGAATTTGCGGGATTCCGCAAGTGTAGGTAAATGGTCCATAAGCTGAGATAAATATCTCTTTTTTTCTTTACGTAGATCTCAATAGGCAGACTGAGTGTAGCGTAAATAAATGAGGTATTTATTGCAAATATTAAAAATAAAAATCTGTAAGTATGCATTTAGTCTTGACAAGAATTTATTACTTTTATAATAAATTAGCGAATACCCGGCGTGTGCTAGGTACTACGCTTAAAAAATAAATACATTTTGTCTATTTTTGGGAAAAAAAAGGAATTTTGTTGATTTTTTTATTTATATCGTGGTCTAAAACTATCTTCGCATTATTGCTTTCAATTCAAACCCGTTTGGGGTACATCGGTTGGACGATAATATGTAGAAACATTTTTGTATTTTATATAGATTATATTTCATTTAGACTATTCAACTGAAACAATAAAAAAAAATTATTACATCTTCTGTTGAAAATGTTTACGAAGAAAAAATAAAGTATCCAAAGGCTCGTCCGCCAGACTGCTTCGAATGTACGACGATAGAGAAAGCTTCTACACTTGTGGATGGAATAGATTTCACGGCATTATAATATATCAATGTCAAATATACTTTCCCATCGAACCTCCCGAAACAGCGTCATTTCTTTTTTAATCTTGGAATCGACGGAATTGATTTGGGACACTACAGCAACTTAAAACTCATTTATGAAACTGAAGCCAGAGTGGGTTCTAATTTTTTTTGCAGTCACAGGAGTTGCGGTTGGTCATTTTGTGTTGGATCATTCACCGCCCCCTCCAATAGAAAGTAGTCTGTACCCTCATAAACATCGTCAGAAGATGCGCTTATGAAATGTATCTTCTGGACAAACTCCTCTATATGTTAAAAAGCTGAATATTTCTTCATTTATCGAGACTTGTTGGTAGTAGTACCTAGAAGTACTTTGAAGATAAATAAATTGAGTAGTCAAGTTAGTTCGCCTTTTTAAAATACGTTGTCGTAATTAAATAACCAACTCTGTAGCCAACGCCAAAGTTAAACTAACTTCTTCTAATTTATTGATTATGAATTTTAAAGTTGCTTCTGCTGACATAAGACTGGCATCTTGCCGACAAAGAAGCTCGACAGCAATCTTTATCGGTTAAGTGTTTGTTCTAATTTTAAATGTATTCAATTCATACTCCGAAGAATCCCGCAAATACCGAAGATCGCGAACACGTATCCCACTGCCTGCGCGACTACAAAATTATGTGGGATCTCTGTATTTCGGGATCTCAGTATACCGAGGTAGGGCGACCTACCGCTGCCCTTAGCGCAGCAACTCATTGCTAGGCCACTGCGCCACGGAGTCGTCAACTAAGATGGTATATACATTTTCATTTCATCATGATACATGAAGCTTAGCTTCCTTGTTACCATGGTTATGATATTATGGTGAAGCGTGATCAATTCGAACTCACCATAACGTGTGTTATACTTTAGATCCTTCAGGACCACGCGATGTATCCACTGGCTGCGACGTTGTGGGCCGCCGTCCGTGAAAAGAGTGCTGTTGCCCACCGCCTCCTTGTCCATCACACCCTCGCCGTACTGCACTCGACTCTCGGTCGTATCGTTGAACGTCGACCATGTCACCACGATGTCGTTGGTCTTTGCTAAAAGCCAGAAACCAAAAATATATCAATAGAAATACCTGCGCTGACTCAAAATGTATAGTTTTAAAGAAATAAAAACGAGTTAATATGGATACAACAACATCCCAAAATTACCAACCTAAACACGCAATGACAACTACTACTACTACTACCACAGAAATCTAATTTAGATTTCTGTGCCTACTACCGAAATCGCATACTTCATCGATGCAATACAACTCGTTCGATATACAGCAAAGGATTGGAATAAGTTACAAGCATGAAGAATCAAAATGCAGATGCGTTGTCATCTTTGAGGACTAGGATAGAAGACCTCGTTAAAAATTCGGGGCTTACATAGCGAACCCAAGCAGCCCAGCCTTGTGGGGTATCGCATGTGGCAGCCTTCGCCCTCGTCAACCATATTAAAAGGAAGTGGACGATTCGTTACATTACGTTACCACAAGAACAGACCCGCCTATGCATAATAAGCAAATCATTCCCAAGCTCATCACACTGAGACGTGTCTCCCCACATACATACAAGTAAGATGGTTTACTGAACACAGTTGTAGTAACAATAATTCTCTCTTAGAAAAGTTACAATGTAGCTAAATATCATGTTCACAAATAGGTACTTATTTATAATTAGTACATTATCTAATACGTCACAAATTTACATATCTTTGTATTTAACTGGAGTTTGCGCATTCTGGCAAGAGCCCTGACTGTTGTCTTAAAAAGCACATGTCCAGGACATTTTGGTTTATTAAAATTTACCCTTATACCTCACACGGCTCGACAACGTAGTGATTAAAAATTAGTTTGCCGTTGCGTATGTACAGTGGGTTCAATTACCTCACGGAACAAGTAGGTAACGTATTTTTTTACATAATAAGTTTGACAAACGAGCACACAGTCCACCTAATGGTAAGTGAATACCGTGGTCCATAGACGTAGCTGTCCTCGTTTAAGAATCAAAATACAGATGCGTTGCCACTTCTCTTTTACTGGAAACGAGGCATGCTGTCTTAGTCCTCAAGGGTGACAATGCATCTGCTTCAAGACTACACATGTGCTCGTTTTTCACCTCTATTCTATAAAAGAACTTTATCGCAATGAAATAGGCCATTTCCATTATCGCCTGTTTGGATTATATACGGCACAGTAACAATGTTATCAAGTTATACACGAGTTCGTGCGTCATGACTCATGACACTTGTGTATCATAGCATACCGTTTCATATTTTTATATGTATCAACATGTTATGTGCGATTATTAAGAGGATATGCGGGCGTCGTTCAGTCCATACTGTAAGATATTGTTACGAGCTTGAGGTTCGTGACAATAAAAACTGCCGATTGAATTACCAAAATTTACACTTTTATTACCTAACACCAATCAAAACTTAAAACACTAATAATTAACCACACTGATTCACTTTATTACGCTTCGAAGCTTCGCTTGTCTCGCTAAATTCAATACTGCCCCGATCGCGTCTTGCAGCGCCTTTAAATACTTTTTACACCGAAACATCCAGAATATTCCGGTAGATACGGGCGCCGACCGACCAGACGCAGAAAGTTCGAGTGTGGGGCTTCTAGAAAGCTTAATTCTTCTGTTCGATATTAGATGGCGCTGTTGGTCGAAAGTCAAGATCGACATTTTCTAGGAAGCCCTCCTCACTCTGATCCCAGCCACTAGATGGCGCTAGTACCGGATATCTGACGTCAACTTAGGCACGCAACACTGCCCCCTCCTAGGACATGCTCGTCCCGAGCATTATCAGCTCCATAATAGCGCGCCAGGCGATCCACATGGACGACCTTAGGAGTCCCTCTTGCGCCTTTCTGAAACGACTCCGCAATGTCAAGGGCTGTCCTATCCCATGGTGCACCAACATTGTACAATTTCAATGCACCTCTACTACGAGTCTGAGGTTCCTTTACAGCCGCACAACTAGTACATTTGCGACACCAGTCCTCAACGTTTCGACAGTGGACCCAGTAAAACCGTTCTCGGATCTTCAGTAGAGTTCGTTTAACTCCCAGATGGCCTCCTGAACAATCATTATGGTACAGCTGTAGAACATTCGGTACTTTAGCTTTAGGGATAACCATTTGCAAATTACAACTGTCTCCCCGAACATTTTCCCATTTACGGTACAGAACTCCATCCTGAAGCAGCAAGCTGTCCCATTGGACCCAATAGCTTCTAGTGGTCGAACTCATCGCTGAGACGTCGCTCCACTTAGGCTTGGTAGCACGGACCTTCATCCATTCCAGAATCGGCTTGATGTCCGGATCTTCCTGCTGTGCATTTCTGCACAGGCTGTCCTTCCACTCGTTGCTGAGGTGGTCTGTCCTGAACATCCTCACGGATACCACTTCCTTACTCTCTTGCCTAGTACAATGTATGCAATCTTCAGGATAAGGTCTCCTTGACAATGGATCTGCGTTGCCATGAGATTTCCCGCTGCGATGTCTGATAGTTTTTTTTTTTTTTTTTTTTTTTTTTATAGAAGAGGGGGCAAACGAGCATGTGGCTCACCTGATGTTAAGTGACTACCGCCGCCCATGATCAACCGCAACACCAGGGGAATTGCAGGTGCGTTGCCGGCCCTTTAGAAAGGAGTAAGCTCTTTTCTTGAAGGTCCCCAGGTCGTATCGGTCCGGAAAAATCACCGGTGGTAAATTATTCCACAGAGAGGTTGTACGCGGAAGAAAACTCCTTTTGAAACGTACAGTGGTGGACCGCCAAGCATCCAGATGGTGTGGATGGTATCGGGACGTTTGCCGTGTAGTGCGTTCACGAAATTTGGCGGCTGGGATTAATCCGAACAATTCCTCAGAGCACTCCCCGTGATAGATGCGATAAAATACGCAAAGAGATGCAACATCTCTTCGCAGCGCCAGTGAGTCGAGCCGATCGGAAAGCACTCGGTCGTCGACGATTCGAGCCGCTCTGCGCTGGATGCGGTCAAGTGGAAGGAGCTGGTACTGGGGAGCCCCAGCCCAGAGATGGGAACAGTATTCCATGAGCGGCCGAACCTGCGCCTTGTAAAGTTGCAGGCGGTGTGCCGGCATGAAATACTGTCCCGCTCTGCTGAGCACGCCAAGCTTTTTAGAGGCCAATTTGGCCTTCCCTTCCAAGTGACCACGAAACTGCACGTCACTCGATATGTCGACGCCGAGGATTCCGATACTGGCTGAGGCAACAAGGGGAGTGCCTTGAAACTGAGGGGATACGACAAAGGGGTTCTTTTTAGCGGTTAACGCGCAAACTTGTGTCTTCTGGGGGTTAAACTGGACTAGATTTAGTCGCCCCCAATCCGAGACTCTGTCCAGCAGAGACTCGACTTCAGACACAAGTTTGTCCCGGCACTCAGAGACGTTTTCCCGAGAAATATTGGCTCGGCCGGTGTAAAGAGCATCACCAGTGCTGTCATCTGCATAGCAATGAATGCTACGGGTTTGCAACATATCATTGATATGCAGAAGAAACAGCGTTGGCGATAGCACGCAGCCCTGTGGAACACCAGCATTAATAAGCTTGCAATCGGAGCTTGCACCGTCTACAACGACCTTGATGCTCCGATCTGCAAGAAAACTGGTGATCCAATCGCACAATTTCTCGGGAAGCCCATAGGAAGGGAGCTTCGAAAGAAGCGCTTAAGATAGTAAAGTTGTATTCCTGCTGCTGCTGGGCGGTGATGTTAGCCGCACTTCCCTTCTGAGATCGTTCACCTTCCCTTTCTAGGGTTCGCTTAGGGCAGCTGGATCGAAGATGGCCCCTTTCCCAACGCCATAGCACCTAGGGCTGTATCCTTTATTGTGGTCGCGAACCGTAACTGTTGCAACCTCCCTAACCTGAGGGGTCCTGCTGCCGCCAGGCGGTGCCGTTAGCTGCATTAGCTGCACTACCCTCTCGAGATCGATCAAGTTGCCTTTCTACAGTTCGCTTAGGGCAGCTGGATCGAAGATGGCCCCTTTCCCCACAGCGATAGCACCTAGGGCTGTATCCTTGATTGCGGTCGCGAACTGTAGATGCTGCAGCTGCTGCAACCTCCCTGACGCGATGGGAACGATGATCCTGCCGCACGGCTTCCACCTCCAGTGCATGGGCCAAGGCGTCCTTAAGCGTCTCGTGGTGTCCGAGCCTCACAGCAACTCTGACTTCAAGGTCGCGGATTCCGTCGATGAATGTCTGCACCAGGTTCCCTTCAATGAGTGCAGGTACAGACCGGTATGCTTTTCGCACCAGCTTCTCCACCTCTAGAGCCCACTGCTGCAAGTTTTCGTAGATGCGCTGCACGCGATCTTTAAGCTGCGCACGAAAGACGTGTTTTAGGTGAGCATCGCCATATCTCGCCTCCAATGCCTCAAGGAGCTGCTCATAAGTCACTTCCTCACCGAGAGTTTCCAGAACTGTTAAGGCCTGGTCGCGCAGGCCTAGTGTGAGTGCAGTCATGGCCTGACTTTTATGCCAGCCGTTTGCCTTCATAACAGCCTCGAACTGGATTTTGTAGGCCGACCAGGAAGAAGTCCCGTCGAACGGCGGCACTTTGAACCCACGTAGCGAAGGTGTTGTAGCTACTACGGGAGCTGTGATTCCATCCACCAGTTTGAGGTCGTCCAGCGTTTTCTTCACGTCAGCCATCACGTTTTCTACCCGATTGTTCACTTGGTCAATTCGGGTTTCAGATTTCTCGATTCGGGTTTCAGCTTCCGACAGGAGGTTGTCATGATGAGCAACCTTATCCTTCACCTCCTTCATCTCCTTTCCGAAGGTAGCGTGAAGGTCCTTCATGAGGAGCATCTGCTCTTCCAATCGGCGTGCCTGTTCCGACTGCTGGTGGGCCTGTGCCTCCTGCTGCTCTTTCAACCAACGGGCCTGTTCCTCCTGTCGGCGGGCCTGTTCCTCCTGTCGGCAGCCTGTTCCTCCTGTCGGCGAGCCTGTTCCTCCTGTCGGCGAGCCTGTTCCTCCTGTCGGCGAGCCTGTTCCTCCTGTCGGCGAGCCTG